CTCATCACACTCATCACACTCATCACACTCATCACACTCATCACACTCATCACACTCATCACACTCATCACACTCATCACACTCATCACACTCATCACACTCATCACACTCATCACACTCATCACACTCATCACACTCATCACACTCATCACACTCATCACACTCATCACACTCATCACACTCATCACACTCATCACACTCATCACACTCATCACACTCATCACACTCATCACACTCATCACACTCATCACACTCATCACACTCATCACACTCATCACACTCATCACACTCATCACACTCATCACACTCATCACACTCATCACACTCATCACACTCATCACACTCATCACACTCATCACACTCATCACACTCATCACACTCATCACACTCATCACACTCATCACACTCATCACACTCATCACACTCATCACACTCATCACACTCATCACACTCATCACACTCATCACACTCATCACACTCATCACACTCATCACACTCATCACACTCATCACACTCATCACACTCATCACACTCATCACACTCATCACACTCATCACACTCATCACACTCATCACACTCATCACACTCATCACACTCATCACACTCATCACACTCATCACACTCATCACACTCATCACACTCATCACACTCATCACACTCATCACACTCATCACACTCATCACACTCATCACACTCATCACACTCATCACACTCATCACACTCATCACACTCATCACACTCATCACACTCATCACACTCATCACACTCATCACACTCATCACACTCATCACACTCATCACACTCATCACACTCATCACACTCATCACACTCATCACACTCATCACACTCATCACACTCATCACACTCATCACACTCATCACACTCATCACACTCATCACACTCATCACACTCATCACACTCATCACACTCATCACACTCATCACACTCATCACACTCATCACACTCATCACACTCATCACACTCATCACACTCATCACACTCATCACACTCATCACACTCATCACACTCATCACACTCATCACACTCATCACACTCATCACACTCATCACACTCATCACACTCATCACACTCATCACACTCATCACACTCATCACACTCATCACACTCATCACACTCATCACACTCATCACACTCATCACACTCATCACACTCATCACACTCATCACACTCATCACACTCATCACACTCATCACACTCATCACACTCATCACACTCATCACACTCATCACACTCATCACACTCATCACACTCATCACACTCATCACACTCATCACACTCATCACACTCATCACACTCATCACACTCATCACACTCATCACACTCATCACACTCATCACACTCATCACACTCATCACACTCATCACACTCATCACACTCATCACACTCATCACACTCATCACACTCATCACACTCATCACACTCATCACACTCATCACACTCATCACACTCATCACACTCATCACACTCATCACACTCATCACACTCATCACACTCATCACACTCATCACACTCATCACACTCATCACACTCATCACACTCATCACACTCATCACACTCATCACACTCATCACACTCATCACACTCATCACACTCATCACACTCATCACACTCATCACACTCATCACACTCATCACACTCATCACACTCATCACAACTCATCACACTCATCACACTCATCACACTCATCACACTCATCACACTCATCACACTCATCACACTCATCACACTCATCACACTCATCACACTCATCACACTCATCACACTCATCACACTCATCACACTCATCACACTCATCACACTCATCACACTCATCACACTCATCACACTCATCACACTCATCACACAAAGATCCCCGTATAGTCTTAACAGACTGTTGGGGCAAGTGCTGTTTGCGAGCACCTGTTGGTGGGTGGCCAACTCCACGCCCGGCCGCCTTTCTCTCCCTAGTACACATCGCACCAGGTACTCATTTCAGGCTGAGTCGACCTAAGGGAGGCCCAGGACCGGTTAAAATAATCGTGATTGGTGTTGGTCGTGAGCGGGAATCGAACGTGGGTCGCCAGCTTCATAGCGCAGCACGCTAACCACTACACTACCGCTTCCCACACACACTGGCTCCCACACACAAACTCACGCCCACACTCGCGCACAAAAACCCAAATTATGATCAATGCCGCCTTCCGCCCTCAATGCTACAGCCGCACTAAACCGCAGTAAAGGTTGCGACTGCTCTTTAAATATTACACCTAATTAAAAACCAACAAAACAAGAGGATAAACAAACACCTCGACGCGCCCAACAGAAAGGTGACGTCTTTCCCTTTCTCTTTCCCCCAACCCAACGGGGGTTCATGTCTCCCCTCTCTCTTTTGTTGTTGTTGTTGTTCGTAAACAAAAAACTAAGTTTACAACATCTGGTAAGTGCCACGCTCCAATCCAATACAACGAAGCAAAAGAAAAAAAAACCGCAACCCATGAAAAACGTGCGTCCCGCTCGTCACGCACATGCGGTGGTTGGTGGGGAACCAAACGAAGTGACACGCGCACAGACAAAGACACACACACAGACACACACAGACAAACACACACAGACACACACAGACACACACACACAGACACACACTCCTGCTGGCAGAGTCAGTCGGGAAGGACTAGGTTTGCAAAAAGCCACTCGGCTGGACGACGCACGATCACGGAGTCCGTTTTTGTTCACGTGGGATCGCGTCAATCGGCCGCCTTTGATTGGCACGTGTTGGCTGCGTACGGTGCGAAACATGTTCAACGCAGACACACGCAGACAATTTAACACGTGGCATGCTTTCGCGACCGATGCTATTCGTGATGAAGGTTATTTTGGGTTAGATCGCGTACATATAAATGTGTCGTTAACCCACCACCACCCGACACAGCCAATCAATAAGCTTTGTCACGTAAACAAAACGTACCGATTAGTTACTACTTCAGCACACCGGTGTGTTGGAGAGTAAACCCACAACATGTACAATTTGAGTAGCGTGACGTTTCTGCTGACAATTACAACAACAACAACCAGCGTCATCGGACGAACTGTGCCCCGATTTTGAGGATGCCCTCCCGTTTCCGGCCTTACACCGAGCGAGGCGACGCCGTGACCTTTTATCTCGAGTAGACACAGCTGCCGCCCCGCGCATCCGTGGGACCTGTCCTGCCACTGACCTGCGAGTCTCCCGATGGCTCAGCCCCACTCATAGATTTGTTGTTCTTGTTGTTGTCGTTGTATCCTCAAATCTTGTAACGCAATTTTAACCCACTTCCCAATGTACTATCGACTGCAAACTTGGTATACTTATGTCATACTGATGACTATATTCTATTATAAAAAAATATTTTCAAAATATTTTTAAACAATCTTTTTTATATGTTATGTTTCAGCTTGGGTCTAATTGTCCACGCTCAACTGACGTTGGCTGTAAATCACCATGGTCCCCTTACATTATGGCAAGCTTTGGGGCCACTTCCTGGAGTCGTGGAGTTCTTTCATTACCAGTACATTTCATTAAAGCGTGTTTAAAAAAAAGGTGTTTTAAATATTACTTATTTATCTCCCAACGGAGTCCCCAAGACCTTCGGATAGCACTTCTTCTGAGGACTCCGGAGGCCACGGTCGGGGCTTTTGCCACTGCGCATCTCCCAGGCTGTGGAGCAAGGATTTGTTTGCCTTCGTTCGGAAGATAAAGTCGTTAGAGCTATTCAAGTCTTGTCTTGAATACTCACACATTTAAAGTGGCCTTCACTCCCCCGTCTAATTCTGGCCGTATACCCGGAAGGTTCTGTTTATTTCCTGCTTTCCTAACATGGGGCGCATTGGTGGGATCCACGGATAAAATGCGCCTTACAAATGTTAATAATAATGATTATTATTGTTCAAGCGAGCGCCATTCACCAGGGCCCGCCTCGCATTAAGGGCATCGCTGCGGCATTCCGTTCCGTTGCATTTCTCATCGCAGTAATAAAGCGCGCGGGTCGCGGCATTGGGAGAAAAACAAAACAAACGTTCGGGAGGTCGCTTCTCACGCAGAAGCCTCGGCGAGAGCGAGCCACGACCTCTCGTTTTTATAAAGGGCTCCATGGACGGGGATGTGGGTCGGGTCAGGGGAGTTCAAGGGCATTGTAACGTCAAGGGCCGGGGAGGTAGCCCCGAAACCATTCCCTGACTTCGGGGTCGCCATCAAATAAAGAGTCAACATTAACCCCCCCCCCTCGACTCTCGTCAAAACTAAATCTGGAGAGGCAAAGGCGCAGCCTTGCAATTGCCTCTTGCGCTTGTCACCAGTGCTGGCGGAAGGGCCTCCACTAGAAGGGGTGGGTGGTGGTGGAGGTGGAGGAGAAACTCAACGGAGTAATTTTGCCTCGACTTCCACGCCGGCCAGACGTCTTGGGAGAACAGGAGGGAGTACTCACGCTTTACCCCACCGCACGCGACCTCCCGGCCTGATCAACTCGCTGCTGCGGTGAACGCCACGGTGTTGAGATGTTAACTACCTCGCCGAGTATGCAAGAGGTCGTGGGTTTCGATCCCGACACTAACGCCGCCCATGTATTTGTCTCTCTGTCTCGGTGGTCGCGTAGATTTTTCGCTGGATTCTTAGGGTTTTCCCTCCACATCTACAATCAACATCAAGCGTTTAGAGTATTTGGCTGCCGTAAATGTCCACGTGATGATGATGACGATAAGCCTTCAACCTCGTTGAGCAATCATTTGTGGCCAGCTGGCTTTTGAAAAAAAAAAGAGCTAAATAGCGCGGTGGGCCTCACCTGGTAAAATAAAAACATGTTTTTGTTGATTTACAATGCTGGGTGGACAGAGACGGCGGCGGGGGGCACACGGGTGGGGGGGGGGGGAAGGGTGGGGCACGGGGGGGAGGGGTGGCGCACGGGAAGAGGGGGGCATGGGAAGGGGGGGGCACGGGGGGGGCGATGGTGTGGGAAGGGGCTACTCACAATAGGGGCTCAGCCGAGCCGTGGCCGGACATCCCGTCCGACAAGAAGTCCAGCTTGAAGGAGGACGTCATGTCGCTGGCGAGTGATGCTCCCCGAGGTGTCGGTGGACGCTCTGAGCTCGCAGCTGCTGCTGCTGCTGCTACTACTGCACCGTCACACGCCAGACACAACAAGGACAGATTTCGCTCAGAGACGTTACCGGACTGCTGGGGGCAAATGCGCCGTGCTGACCTTCACGATCGGTGATCGATAGCAGCGCGTGCAAGAATACAAAAGACAAAGGATCAGCCCCTATAGTCCTCACAGACTGTTCGTGTGAGTGGTGTTAGCGATCACCTATGAAGGTGTACATTGTGCACGACGTGGTGGGGTGGATGGACAGCGCCACGCCCCCGGCCGCCTTTGTCTCCTCGGTGCTGATGTTTTATGCGCACACCGTAGCAGGTACTCATTTAAGGCTGAGTTGACCCAGGAGAGGCCACCCAGGACCGGTTTAGATACTCGTACCGATGCGGGCCATGAGCGGGAATCGAACTCGTGTCGCCGAGTTCGTAGCGCAGCCACAAACACCGACACACACACGAACACAATCACAAGATCGCCCTCTCTCTATCGCTCTCCCAGTAACTACAAGGCGCTGGCTCTGTGTAGTGGATCTAAGACACCAGGCAGGAACATTGTTCTCAAGGAGGTCAGAGGAGATATTGCCGGGGCCGCATGAAGACCTGTGTACGTTCCTTTAACACAGCTTCAAACTCTTGCCGATCAGCCCAGAACACATGAAGCCAACGTGTGGATCGAGACGATAGGAGCCGTTTGTTGATTTGTTTTCGGGAGCTTCTGCATCTTCTGTAAAGAGCTGCCTCCGTTGTAGCCACGGTGGCGAGATGTTAACTACCTCGCCCAGTACACGGGAGGTCGTGGGTTCGAGCCCGACCCTGACGCCTGGCTGTCTATTTTAGTTTGCGAGTTCTGTCTCCGCGTGATGGCGTTATTTTGTCTGCTGGCCCTCCGGCTTTTCCCTCCGCATTTAGAATTAACACGCGTTCAGAGTTATTTGCCTGTGAGTCTATGGGTCTCTGTGTGAGTCTATGGGTCTCTGTGTGAGTATGGGTCTCTGTGTGAGTCTATGGGTCTCTGTGTGAGTCTATGGGTCTCTGTGTGAGTCTATGGGTCTCTGTGTGAGTCTATGGGTCTCTGTGTGAGTCTATGGGTCTCTGTGTGAGTCTATGGGTCTCTGTGTGAGTCTATGGGTCTCTGTGTGAGTCTATTAGCCTCTGTGTTATTCGATAGATCTCCGTTTTTAGTTTATGGGTCTCTGTGAGTCTATAGATGTCACCCCCTCGTGTCACCCCCCGGTGTCACCCCCCGGTGTCACCCCCCGGTGTCACCCCCTGGTGTCACCCCCTCGTGTCACCCCCCGGTATCACCCCCTGGTGTCACCCCCCGGTATCACCCCCTGGTGTCACCCCCTCGTGTCACCCCTCGTGTCACCCCCCGGTGTCACCCCCTGGTGTCACCCCTTCGTGCACCCCCTCGTCTCACCCCCACGGTATGCCGCGTTCGCAGGTACGGCCACGCGTGCTCTAGGGTCCGTCCGTAGTCACGGAACGTCGGGTCTGCCACCAATGTGCCGCGTGCAACATTTTCGCAGGAGGAGGGGGAGGGTAGGGGCGGGGCGATCAACGCAAGTGCCCCCCTCCCCTTTTTGGGACGCCGCGGTGGCTAGGAGATGTTAACTACCTCGCCTGGTCTACAGAAGGTGGTAGGTTCGAGCCAGACTCTGACGCCTGCTGCTGTATGTTTTGAGTTTGCACGTGTCTCTCTCCACGTGGTCGCGTGGATTTTTCTCCGGGTCCTCGTGTTTTTCCCCTCCACATTCAGAATGAACAACACGCGGTTAGAGAAAGTGGCTGCCGTACATTTCCACGTGATACGAAGACACTTCGTCGAGCTATCACTTGTCTGCCGGGTCCCTTCTGAAAAAGAGCTACATAGCTCAGTGGGCTTTATCTGGTAAAATTATAAAAGGTAATCGTTTTATAGTTTAGCGAGCCATTCGAGCGGGCGCTGAGACGCCCATTGCACCACCACCACGTGGGGGCCATCGGAGAGAGAAATCCGCCGAGTTGCCAGCGGTGACTCTCCGGTCAACACCTGGCACGGGGATTTCACACGCGGGAACCGCACGCGCGGCACAATAAACAACACAACAGGACGAGGAGGGGTAAAATAACAAAGAGTAAAACTGGGGTGAGATTTATGGGAAATATGACTTGTGTGGGATTCTGGCTGCGGTGAAAATTGTGGTTCGAGGCCCCGGCTTAACATTTTCACATCAAATGTTTGCTGTTCAGACTCGAGAAGGTGGCACTTGACGACGAGTAGTAGCCACAGCGAGAGGTATACTGGAGGTGGTGTGCCGGGAAGATAAATACGTTCTGGGTTAACCGACTCAGACAGACTTGGATGTAATTAGGCCCTGTTGAGAAGTCATGGTTAGCAATGGGAAGAGGACGAGCGATGTGGGTCAGGAGTCGGGTTACTGAGCCCACGCTGCTGACATCCTCGGTTCAAATCCAGGTTTCAGCCGCTGGTAATTCATATTCGTTTTTAGGTGCAGTGGGTTGATGGTCTCAACAATGCCCGCACACGCAACCTCCCCTCCTTCCCCCGATCCTTTTAAACTGGAATTTGCACTCAATTTGACGTAAATTTCAGCTCTTAGAATACACAAAGTGATTGCGACTATCATCTGTACAGCAGGGTATACGGGAGAGAGCAGCACCTCCTAACCACGTGGATAAGATGCCACTTGAAGGGATCTCAGACGTGCTTCTGTGATATCTCTTTCAGCGAGCCGAGAGCTCTGGACAGACACTCGTTCATCGTCGTGGCAAGGTGGCGATGGAAGAGTTAGAAGGCAAAATTAGTCAAAGATTAAGGTTGGGGTCATTGCCATCCCAAATGTGACTTCATGGAGAGCCCAATTTTGAATCGTGCCATGTTGGAGAGCTATGCGTCTTCACCCGTGGCGCTATTGTCTTCAGACAGCAGTCGAATTCATTTTCACAAAGCAAAATAAATGTCACTCCTAACGAGCATCAAAGGAAAGCAACTCTGCGTTTAATCATGCCCATGATTTACTCATGTAAGACTTCATTTTCTACTTTCCAGGAGGCTCCTGCATTCGGATGCTTGGTCAAACAGCGAGCTTAACGCCAACATTCCTGTTGTTCGTCCTCCGCCAATCCGAAGAGGTTTTCTGTACGAACGTTGAACTTCCTTCGCACCGTACGTAGCCAACAGTGCTGAATCGGAGGGGCGTTTACGAAGATATAACAGTTGTGCACTTGCCGATGGATCGAGCGAAACTCCGACCGATAAACATCAACGGCGGATCAGGAATTTCCACGTCTGAAATTTACCCGGAGCTCCTTGTTCGATGCATCGGCACCATCGCGGAAATACTAATAACAACAACAACATCCGTGTAACCGCGACCAGTCTGTCGGGATGGTGGAGGGTTAATGACTGCATTCAGACTACTACCATCACGTGTCCTAAACTTAAACCAAAAACAAATATTGGCTCATAGTACTGGCGACGAAAACCTGAGTTACTGTTCACTCGAAATGAGTTGTCGGCAGGACAGAGGAAAACCGGAGGACCTGGAGAAAATCCGCCACGCAGACGGAGTGGGAGCCACTCCGCACTGTCTTCTCGCCGCCTCACAACTCCTATCCTACAACACCCGGCAAGCACTGGCTGTCACCCATCCGAGCTTCACTGTTAAGACTCCAATATAGCGTGCTTGCTTGTATCTGTACCTAACTTTTTGCCTGGTGCCTCTTGCTCTCACGTGTTATTTTTCACTGTTTTATTTTTTGTTCATTCGCGTGTATTTCGTGTATGAACTTTTACAAACTTCAAACAAAAAAACCTCTGCTTAGCCTGCATATATCTGACGACATTGGGCACATTGAGGGTGGCCTGGTCGCAGGCCTTGGGGGGGTCACTGCGTTTCCACTGGGCAACAGCTGGGGGCAGACCGCGTGGGCAGTGAGGATGTGCGCTGACGTCAACGGTTTTGGCCGTGACGACCAGTGGCGTAGTAACTACATCATCAGTGACGTAGTAACTACATTATCAGTGGCGTAGTAACTACATCATCAGTGACGTAGTAACTACATCATCAGTGATGTAGTAACTACATCATCAGTGACGTAGTAACTACATTATCAGTGTCGTAGTAACTATATTATCAGTGGTGTAGTAACTACATCATCAGTGGTGTAGTAACTACATCATCAGTGGTGTAGTAACTACATCATCAGTGGTGTAGTAACTACATCATCAGTGGTGTAGTAACTACATCATCAGTGGTGTAGTAACTACATTATCAGTGGCGTAGTAACTACATTATCAGTGGTGTAGTAACTACATTATCAGTGGTGTAGTAACTACATTATCAGTGACGTAGTAACTACATCATCAGAGGTGTAGTGACTACATTATCAGTGGTGTAGTAACTACATCATCAGTGGTGTAGTAACTACATCATCAGTGGTGTAGTAACTACATCATCAGTGACGTAGTAACTACATTATCAGTGGTGTAGTAACTACATTATCAGTGGTGTAGTAACTATATTATCAGTGGTGTAGTAACTACATCATCAGTGGTGTAGTAACTACATTATCAGTGACGTAGTAACTACATCATCAGTGGTGTAGTAACTACATTATCAGTGACGTAGTAACTACATTATCAGTGGTGTAGTAACTACATTATCAGTGACGTAGTAACTACATTATCAGTGGTGTAGTAACTACATTATCAGCGGTGTAGTAACTACATTATCAGTGGTGTAGTAACTACATTATCAGTGACGTAGTAACTACATTATCAGTGGTGTAGTAACTACATTATCAGCGGTGTAGTAACTACATCATCAGTGGTGTAGTAACTACATTATCAGTGGCGTAGTAACTACATTATCAGTGGCGTAGTAACTACATTATCAGTGGCGTAGTAATGTCATTATCAATGACGTCGTAACTACATTATCAGTGGTGTAGTAACTACATTATCAGTGGCATAGTAACTACATTATCAGTGGTGTAGTAACTACATCATCAGTGA